TGCTTATTTGTCTTATAAATGTCTTTTTTAAAAATTTGATTCCTGGGTTACGTTTAGGTGACTGAAATCATATAATGGCAGAAGGAGTAAGGAAATACATTAAAATATGACTTGAATTGAAAGGAAATTTCCTAAGAAATGAGAAGTGAATAGATTATGGAATATTCCTAAAATATTCCTGAGATCTATTTTAATGCTGAGAAATATTTATTTTATAGTATTTTGAAAAAGCCCACAAAAAATTTAAAAATACTTTTATGTAACACAGGCAGTTTTAATCTCATAAAATTTTGGGTTTTGGTGTACCTGTGTTAAATACATTAAAAATTGCAAATATTTCCCTTTTTAGGAAATTACAATTTGGTAAGGTCTGTACTAGTCTGCTTTTCTTTGTTTATTTCCCAAGTTAGTTTATTGTTCTTCTTGTGCCATGCTTTCTAATCATTTGAATAATTTAGTTTAGCTTTATGTCTCAAATTCTGTTATTGGAAGTAGTTGCTTCAAATATTATAGTTTGCTTATGTGCATTATAATTTATAATTCTTTATAAAACTTTACTGGCTATGGTCACCACTTCTTTTGGTGACCCACAGTGGGTCAGTCCTTTGTGTTAGACATCTTCAGGTACATTGTCTATTCAGTCTACCCCACAGTACTTTGAAAATAAACAATGATATCCCTGTGTTTTTCATATGAGGAAAATGGAGCTCAGGGAAGATACCAAATTTATTTGCCAAATATTACGTATATACCAAACATTAATTGAACACCTGTTGTATGTCAGGCACCATTCCAAGTGCTGGTGTTATTGGAATAAAGAAGATAAAAGCTCATGGATCGAAGAAATCACAAACTGATAGTGGGGTTCAAACTTATAGCTGTTTGATTCTAAAATGCCTGTTGTGTTTTCAAATTGAAATTGGAGCTTTTATTTGAAAATGCTTTTGACTTGTTTTGCTTTTCTTGTCTTTGAGGTAACTCTTGCATGTGTAAATCACATTTCTAATAATTTAATTTTGTTATCAGAATGATTTTCACAGTCGAAATTGAAATAATGTAAAACAGGGTAACTTGTTTTAAACTTTTCTTGCTATATTGAGGTGGTGGGGCACTTCATATAATGAGAATGATTGATTAGAAAATATTGGAACAGGGAAATAAAATTGGTTTCTGGATTTCAGCTACCTTAAGAAGGAGTGGGCATAGGGGAGAGTGATTGAAAGACCAGAGGTCTTAAGCCAGAAGTATACCAAACTCAAGGGAAACAGTTATGGTTTAGATGGAGAAGGAAAAAGAAAATGGATTTGATTTAAATT